TTTGGAGTGCTGGGGGGATTCCCTGGGGTCCAGTGGTGCTGCTGCTGCTGGGCGGGTGGCCGGTCCGGGAGGCGGGCGCGCGAGGGAGCACTCAGTGCTTCCTCTTCAGCTCCCTCGCGCGCCGCGTAGGGATGCCGGCGCCGGAAGATGACGTCATCTTCCGGCTCCGGTATCAGTGTGGTGCGCGAGGGAGCTGAAGAGGAAGCACTGAGTGATCCCTCGCGCGCCCGCCCGACCGGCCACCCGCCTGCCCGGTATCAGCAGGGCCAGTCTCGGGGAGCCCTGGGGTGGTTGGCTCCTAGGCGCCCCAGGAGTAGAGGCTGGCCCTGTGGCTACATACCGGGTCGCAGGGGCGGCCGGGCCCCCTGGTGGGCCGGGCCCGGTCGCAGCCGCGACCCCTGCGACCCTGGTATGTACGCCACTGAGTTTGTTCCAGGTGTAGTGGTAATGAGCGTTTTTAAATGTATTTTTTTACTTTTTGAATCTTTTTTTACTTTTAAAAACTAGTTTTTAAATTTTTGTTTTGCTTATTAATTTTTTAAACTTTCCTAAACTTTCTTAAAACTTTTTTTTGCAGATGTAAAATTTTTCTAAGCTTTTTTTTTTACCGTTAACCCCTAACTAGCAGTAAGCAGGACTAACAGTAAATTCCCCATTTTCCCATAACTCCCACCCACCCCAGCTAGCAAAATATATAATTATAAAATATTTAAATTAATTAAATATATTGAACCCCTGAGGGTTAAAAAATAAATAAAAGTTAATATAATACTGTGATCTGTATTTTGATCACTGTAGGCAGTGATTGACTGGCAGATAAGGAGTTAATTTTTATTTGGACTGGGTAAAGGTGTTTTTTTTTATTTTTTACTTAAACGTTATTAAAACTTTTTTTAGCTCAATTTTTAACTTTTTAAAGTTTATTTTAAAACTTTTAACGTTAACCCCTAGTTACCCTAACACCAAATGCCCAAATTCCCCACTAACTTCCACCCACCCCAGCTAGCTAAATATATAATTTTAAAATATTTAAATTAATTAAATAAATTTAACCCTTGAGGGTTAAAAAAAAAAAAAAAGAATTAACCCGCAGGGAAGGGGTTGATTTTTAATTAAAATGAGTAAAGGGGGTTGGGATTTTAATAAACGTTATTTTATTTTTTTAGCAGGGGCAGGATCAGCACTGTTCCGGCTCCCTGCACTTCACACAGAACCAGGAAGTGCAGGGAGGTGGAAGGTAAGTATACTAAGCACATGTGCTCGCTCTGGCATGCTGTCAAAGCGAGCACATGTGCTGGGGCAGCACTATCGGGTGCTCCCGGTCTGCCTCTAATACAGAGTCAGACCGGAGCACCATTAACCCCGCAATCGCAGCGATCCGGGGTTAATTTTAACTGGTGACGGACAAGGTCTGTCACTCATCGTTATGGCAATCCCCTGAGTAATGGACCTTGTCCGTCACTCGTCGTTAAGGGGTTAAGTATTGTCCTTTTACTATGTATCTTTTGGTTTTGGACTGGATGTGGTTTTAATGTGTATTTTGTATATCCTTTTTTTTTTTTTAAATTTGACAATTTTTATTTTCATAAAGGTAATGGGGTACAGAAAGAAAAGGGGGGAGCAGTTAGGGGGTGTCAAATTATACAATATTTATTTCCACTTTAAGCATGTTTGATAGAAGAGCCTTAGCAGGTGTCAATTTCTGCATTACAGTCGGCATTAATTATACAGGGGGGACACGGTTGCACCTGATATGCGTATGGTCGGTGTTTAGTAGTACGCTAGAGTCGTGGGGGTAGTTTCTCTGTGTGCGACTCGTTACGTCTGGATAGTGACACAACCTCATGAGTCATGAGCCAATCCATGGCGGGTACACCGGTGTAGTGGAGTTCGTTGCGGTGTGAAGTTGGGAGCGCAACTGGGGGGGGGAAGAAACAGGGGGAGGGTGGAGGGGGGGTATGCTTTGGAGGTATGCAGTAGTGGCGTGCGAGCACGATACATGGTATACATATACACAGCTGTAGGTGTCGTCATGTGTTGCAATACGTGGTGCGATGTGACATTAGGTCTACCCTGTGGTTAAGTGTGTTGTTCTGAGGATACTGGCCCCTGTGGTAACTGGAGAAGGGGTTGGGTCTATTCAGGTAGTAGAACTCTGTGGACCAGCAACTAGGATTTGCGCTTCGTCGGTGGTACCTACACCGTCTTTAATCTCTGTAAGACGTTAGGTAATGTTAACCCCATCCCAGTAGCTTGCCCATGGTGCCCAGGACACTTGAAAGGACTTTCTTTGTGAGGCAGTTTTGGTCGTCATGTTCTCGTATGTGTGGTATTGGTGTATTTTGGTTAGCAGGTGGGTTTTAGAAGGACAGTGAGGTTGCTTCCACTGGTTTGCTATGAGGTTTCGTACTGCCAATGCGGTAATTGCCATTATGCATTTCACCGCTTTCGGGGTTGAGTGCGGGTAGGAAAGGAATAACCCTGTACGGGCGTCTAGCGGTGGCTCTGTGATGCCGATGGTTCGTAGGATGGATTGCGCCTCGTCCCACAAGGGGCGTATACGTTGGCACGACCACCAGATGTGGAACATTGTGCCTGTTGTCTCCCCGCATCTCCAGCAGAGTGGTGATGCAGAGCTGTACATTATGTGGAGCTTGTGGGGTGTTAGGTACCACCTGTATACTAGTTTCTTGTGGGCCTCTACATGTGAGTAGCACTGTGTAATACCTTTGAGGGCAGTTGGGGACGCCTCCACTTCCTTGTCAGTTATCGGCTCATTGCAGTCCGCGAGCCATTGGGTCACGAAGGGAGGGGAGTAGTGTGGAGCCGTTTTCATAACCACCTGGTAGCATAGGGCAAGAGTTTTGGGTTTAGTTGGGGTGTGCCAGCATCTGTCATACAGCGTGTCTACTACCTTTGTGCTCTGGTTAACCTCTGTGGTGGCTCTTGCCACGTGTGAGGGTATGATGCTCTTGATTTGCATGTAAGGGAATACTGAGGAGTTGGTCAGTTTGAATTCCTGTTGTAGTTCTGGGAAGGGCTTGATAAGATTGTGGTGCATAATTTGGTCGAGTTTGTGAATTCCCAGTTTGACCCAGGTGTTTAGTGAGAGCCACGGTGAAATTGCTCGTAGGGCTGTCAGCGGTGTGCGTGGGTGGAATTTGTGGGTGGTGTTTTGCGAGTGCCTAAGCACGTCCCAATGGTGTAGGGTGAGTGATGTGGTTGGGAACAAAATGTTGTCTTTGGGGCGCAGCGTTTTGGGGGTCCATAAGATGTCTACTAGGGGTGTCTTGTCGGATTTCGCAACTTCCATGTCTACCCCTGATATGTGCCTTTAGGGGTGTGTAATTTCACTGCAGTTTCTAGATTAGCTGCTTTGTAATACGTATAAATATCTGGGAGGCCTACACCTCCCTCTGCTGTGCGCTGCTGCAGTAAGCGATGGGATAGTCTGGGTTTGCGTGAGTCCCATATGTATGCGGACAGGGTCCGTTGGAGCTGTTTAAAGAAGGCGGGTGGGGCTTGTATATGTAGGAGGCGAAACACGTACAATAGTTTTGGCAGGAGAGTCATTTTAATAGTGTTGATTCTGCCTAACCATGACAGTTTGACCGGCTTCCACTTGAGGCATTCCGCTTTGCACAAGCGGAGTAGGGGTTTGTAGTTGTAGTGGAACATACGTTCCGATGTGGGCGTTATCTTGACCCCTAAATAAGTGATGTGGTCGGCTCTCCAGTCGAACTTATAGGTTCGCGTAAGGTCCTGGACCAGAGTGTGTGTAAGGCCTATGGGCAGAGCCTGTGTCTTGGATTGGTTCAGTTTATAGTATGCCACTTTACCGTAAGTATGTAGGAGTTGCATCAAGGTCGGGAGGGATGTGTTGACTTCCCTTAGTGTTAGAATGATGTCGTCAGCGAACATTGATAGCTTGTATTCGCTGGGACCTACTGATATGCCTTTAATATTTGGATGGTGTCTAATGATATACGCTAACGGCTCCAGAGAGAGGACGAACAGTAACGGGGACAAGGGGCACCCTTGTCTGGTGCCGATAGAGATGTTGAATGGTGTGGACAGAAAGCCCGCATTAGCAACTTGTGCTGTCGGGCTGTTGTAGAGAGCCATGATACCTGAGATTATGTGTGGTGTGAAGCCAAATGCCTGAAGGACATGTTGCATGTAGTCCCAGTTGAGCCTGTCGAAGGCCTTCTCTGCGTCTAGTGCCAAGAGAAGACCTTCTGTGTGGTCAGTGTGGGCTTGTGTGAGGATGTTTAAAATCTTTCGGGTATTGTCCGAACCTTGTCTAGTTTTAACGAATCCGGATTGGTCATTATGTGTCAGTTTTGGGAGGATGTCAGATATTCGGTTTGCTAGGAGCTTAGCATAGAGCTTCACGTCTCCATTAAGCAAGGATATAGGTCTGAAGTTATGGCATTGCGTAGGGGGTTTGCCTGGTTTTGGAAGAGTAGATATGTGAGCTTTCAGCATCTCGGGGGGTAGCGAACCCTTCTCATAGGATTGGTTGAATAGCGCCGTTAGATGGGGGGACAGGATGGGTGCAAAAGTTTGGTAGTACCTATAGGTATACCCATCTGGGCCTGGCACTTTGTGTTTGGGCAGTTGTTTTATGGTTTTTTCTATTTCTTGTGTGGTGAATGGTGCTGCTAAAGAGGTTATGTCGTCGGGTGTCAGTTTGGGGAGATTCGCCTTCGCTAAAAAGTTTTGGATGAGGTTTGGAGGGGGCGGTGTTACTTCTGGGTCTTCTTTAAGGTTATAAAGCGTACCGTAATAGGAGGCAAATGCATCTGCTATATCTTGTGGGTTTGTGAGCTTTTGGTTCGAGGGTGTGTTGATGTAAGCTATTCTCGTGTTGGCGGAGCGCGCCTGGAGTTGTGCCGCCAGCAGTGCACCTGCCCTGTTCCCCTGGGTGAAGAAATTATGTTTGAAGCGTCGAAGTATGTATGTTGTCTTTTTGAGTTCAAGGTCTCTGAGTTTAGTTTGCAGCGAGAGGAGTCGGTGTTGGAGAGTTTGTGTGGGGTTGGTTTTGTTTTTGTGCGTGAGATCTGTTATCTCTGAAATCAGTGTGGTATAATCGTTGAGCCTTTGCTTCTTAGCATAGCTACCTGCTCTAATGAAGAGGCCACGTATGACCGCTTTGTGCGCTAGCCATGTCATTGATATGTCGGTTTCTGGTATTGTGTTTGTGTGGAAGTATGATGTCAGGTCTGCTCTGATTTGGTCCACTACGCTTGGATCTAATAGTAGGGAGTCATTAAGTCTCCAAGTTCCCTTGCCCGCCGTGGGAAACTGTTCCGCTAGGACCAAGGTTATTGGTGCATGATCAGACCAGGTAATTAGGCCAATGTGGGCTGATAGTACTTTTTGCATCATTGAGGCAGGCAGGAGGAATCTGTCGATTCTGGTGTAGGTGTTGTGGACCGGGGAGTGGAAGGTGTAGTCCCGCTCCAGGGGGTGGAGGATTCTCCACGGGTCTAGGAAGTTATTGTGTAAGATCTGGTTGCAATGTCGTGAGGTGGATCTATATTGTTTGCGAGCCGATGCTCCGGTTAGTTTGTGAGCTGAGGTGGAGTCAAGAGTGCAATCTAAAAGGAAGTTGGTGTCTCCACCTATAATTAGTTCCCCGAATTTATGTAGGGTGGTTAAGGCGAACACGCTATCTAGGAATTCTGTTTGATTGGTGTGGGGGCCGTATATGTTGAGAATTGTGTATGGCTCGTTATTGATATAGCATTGTAATAACAGGTATCTTCCCTATTTATCCCCAATTTTCTTTACCAGTGAGAACGCGACCTGTCGTCCTATCAGGATGGATACCCCTCTTTTTTTCTTTTTGTAACATGAGTGGTAGTCATGGGGGAGTAGTTTGGAGCAGAATTTGGGGCGAGCGCCCCATTTGAAGTGGGTCTCTTGATAAAACGCTATATGGGCTTTGTGCTTTTTCGCCTCTTCCAGCGCTAGTCTACGTTTGTGGGGGGTGTTTAGGCCCTTAACGTTTAGGGACAATATGGTGAGCGTCATTATTTGGGTAGTGTCTTTGAGCTGGACGGACGGTTGGATGGGTCCTAATGACCCATATGTTGCCTAGTTTGGTGGTGTTGTAGGAGTACAGTAGCGGGGTAACGTAGGATGTTTCCAACCTTTCTGTATAGTGCGTTGTGTGGGGGCCGATCAGGGAGGTTGGAGTCCTGTGTTTAAGAGTTACAGTGATGGTTACTTCGATATCGTTGTTGTCATGGGGGGGGTCTGGCCAATAAGCCAGTGTGGTTTAGTTGTCTGGTAGGCCTTCGTGCATTCGCAAATGTGGTTGCATACCTCGGGTGTTGTGCTAACTGCTTAGCGGGGTTGGGGGGTGGGGAAAAAATGTATATACGTACCATGAACTGGTACAATAGAGCAGGAGAAACTATATACAGGGTTCCGTCGTGGGTAGTGCCGTGTGGCATGGACGGTAATAACAAGGCTCACTTGAGCCCGGGGTACAGCGGATGGTCGGGTGTTTGACCCTCAGTGTTTCGTGGGGTCCCATCAGTTGGGAGTTGACCCGTGTTTGCCTGGGGACATTGTTTTTCTACATGCCCTCCCTAGGTTGACCCATGTGCCTCTGGGTGGTATTTAGGGTGGTGCACACGTGGTGCCCGTGGGTTGTTCACTAGTAGGTGATAATTCTATTGTGTTTTTTTTTAATTTATTTTTTTTATACACTTTACTACCTCATTGTGCATCGCTGCAATGGCCGGGCCCTCTTTGGGGTGGCCCCACCATTGCCGCAAGGCCTAGTCGGGCATATTTTGGGCCATGTAGTGAAAGTTTAAAATAAACAAGTTAGATAAAACATTATGCAAAAATTAGTAGATATAGATGTAAAGGTTTTGAGGGGAAGAAACAGTCAGTAGCGTTCATTGGCGGGGGTGCCTGGCCGGCATGCCCTGGAGTGTAGGGTGTAGGCAATAAGGGTGTGGAGAGGTCACTTAGCTGAAGTTGCCACGTTCCAGTCAGTCTGGACTCTTCTCGGAAGTCCTCGATGTGGCTCTTGGACGGCTCGGTCAGGTTGTTGCGGGAGGGAGATATCCCACTCCTTCAGGAGTCTTTTGCCTTCTTCGCTGTTTGTGATGTGTCGGTCTGTGCCATTCCGCCGAACAATTAGGCGGGCTGGGAAGCCCCACCTGTATAGAATATTGGCCTCTCTCAGGGCTCTTGTGATGGGAGTAAGCTCCCTCCGCTTCGACAGCGTGGAGGCGGAGAGATCTGTGAACAGGTGGACACCTTTAAATTTTTCCGGCAAATCGAGGGTGCGCCTGGAAGCTCTCATGATCTTCTCTTTGGTGGTGTAATAGTGCAGTTTTGCGATGGTGTCTCTTGGGGCTGACGCAGGGAGGAATCTTGGCTTTGGTAAGCGGTGTATGCGGTCTATAAGGAAGTCTTGTTGTGTGAGGTCGGGGACCAAGTGTTGGAAAAAACACATGGCGTACGCCTGGAGGTCTTGGGGCAAGATTTCTTCTGGGACGCCACGGAGGCGGATGTTGATGCGCCTGTCCCTGTCTTCGTGGTCCGCCACTTTAGTAGTAAGTTGTTCTAGACGTTCCCTCAAGTCAGTGTAAGCATCTGCCATGGTGTTGTGGGCCGATATGAGTTCCTCAGTCTTGTCTTCGAGATGGGTTGTTTTCTCTCCTAGTGCTTG